ACCATGTCTCATTAATTCTTCATTAATAAATTTGTAAAGTTCTGCTACCTGGTATTTACTTTCCTGTCCATTAGTGGATGCTGGATCTACCTTAGAGGATTTGGATGACCTTGGAAACATTTTGTTGCCTTGTTTTCTCATATAGTGTCTATCAAAAAATGTGTACACAAAGTGAAGCCTGGTGGTGCACTCCTATAATCCCAGCACTCTGGCTGCTGAGGTAGCACGATAATTGCAAGTTTGAGATCAGCCTGGGCTACAAAGGCCAGTCTCATCTGCATAGCAAGACCTTGTCTCCAAAAGACAAAAAGACAAAAAAAAAGAAAAAAAAAAAAACAAAAACCAGCATACACACTTCAGTAGTTCACCATGCTAATAAATGTCTGGAAGCTTATGATCAACACTTTGAGCACTTCTTATAATTGTAGAGGCCAAAGGTACCATGTTAATCTCAATTTCTCAATAAATTTTGTATTAAAATATTTATATGAAGTTTCCTTTTCCTGATATATACATTTTTGTTTTTTGCAGACTTCCGTGTTTTGTTCTGGGAATTGATATCAAGTAGGGTGAGGAGAGATTGTAGCTGGTATGAAGATCTCTGTCTTTCAGGATTGGTGTTTGGTTTTATTACATTAGCTACTTATGTGATTTGGACCCTGTTACTGTGTTTTGAGGAAAGAATTACTACTGGTTCTAACAGTATCATGCATTGCTTATAGTGATAAACCTTGCATTTATACATTCACCTTTCATCAGAACTCTTTGCAGGTTAGATTCTGCTAGTCTATGATGGGGAAGAGAAGTGAAGGGCAAGGATGAAGGAATGCGGGAAAGAGGAGTGAGTGTTAGGAGGAGGAGAGGAAAATAGGAGAAATATAATAAGCAAAATTTAAATTAGAGAGGTTAGATTCTGCTGGAGATATTTTAGTAAGATTAAAGGGTTAGTGTTGAGGATTTTAAGAATATGTTGAGGGAAAGAGGATGAAATGTTAGAAGCAGGAGTTATTTTGGGACTGAAAAAAGCAACAACAGGTTATTGAAACTTGTTGAGGTATTTGTGCACGTGAAAGGTGGAGAACAGGCAGGGGAGGGCAAGGGACCTAGGCAAAGTAAGGAGAAACAAAAGGACACAATAATAGAGAGGACAGATGATTAATATGAGAGAAAGCACCGAGAGGGAGCAGAATATCTCGAAAAGAAGAATTTAAAAAGTGTGCAAACCAAGTTTAAAAAAAAGAAAATAGTATTGTTACAGAAGTTTGTACTAAAAAAAATGAAATAGAAGAAAAGAAGGAGAGATGATCAGCAATTCAGTTAAGGTTGGGTCGGGTGTGGTGGTGCATGGCTGTAATCCAAGCACTCGGGAGGCTGAGGCTGGAGGATTGCCTCCAGTTTGAGGCCAGCCTGGGCAATATAGTGAGTTCAAGGCCAGTTTGAACTCGGTAGGTAGAAATAGCTAAAGCAAAGCAAATAAAAATCCATCGGGAGCCCAAGTGAAACGTGCAGCAAGAGAATGTACATGTGATTCTCACATGAGCACTATGCTAGCGGGCCCGGGGCTGTGGTGGACCACACGTAGCAACACCAGTTCCTCCACTTTTCTCTTGCACTCAGAACCTAAACTGGCTGGTCTCAAGAATTCTCCCCTCAGGCAGGCGGCTTCGCTCAAGAGCCTCCCGAGGGCATCTGGTGGAGGCCTGGGCAGCTCCTGTGCTGGCGGCTGGGAGGGTGCAGGAGGGCGCACACCTGCCCACTGTTCAGCCCTCCCTGCCAGGGTTTGGGGGCTTTCCTTGCTGGCAGTGGGTGTGGACGAGGGCACTTCCAGGCTGTGTGGAGGGGAAAGGAGGGGAAGCGGGCTGGCTGTGCTCCTTCCTGCCCTCAGGCTGCGCCCCAGAGCGCCAGCTGGGGCCACCTGGGCCGCAGGGTGATAGTGAGGTGGTTTCCCTTTTGCCGTGATCCAGATATTTTGTCTGATCCACATGTATCATCTTTCCGGTTAATTTTGTGTTCCAGGGTGTCAGCCTCTCCTCCACTGCTGAGTACCTGTGGCTTCAGTGAGTCCTCCTGGTGCCTCAGAAGCAATACCTGCCTCTCTCAGCTCATGACTTAATTTTAAGATGTATTCTCTTTCTTTCTTTCTCTCTTTCTCTCTCTCTGTCAGACCCATATTACTTTTTGAAATTCCACGTTGTTTGATATACTTTGCAATTTGAATCTATAAAATCATATATCATTTATTCTAGGGATTTTGCTGGCAGCTTTTCATGGTTTCTCTCTGTTTTGGCCTCAGTTGGCCCCTCGGTGTCCCAGGGCGTTACACAGCTTTCCCCACCCTTATCTCTGGGCCTTCCAGCAATATTTATTTTGCTATACTGAACTCTTTAAGCCAGCTGACCTTCTCCTCATCTCTGTCAAAGCTCACTCCGTTCCATTTCTTCTCGTGCTCTGTGGCCCTGATTGATCCTGGGAGAACACGTGGAGTAAGGCACACAGGTTTCATTCAAACATCCTGCAGAAAATTAAAGTGGGTTCTGTAAATAAATCTCCTCACGTGAAAGCAAATGGTAAAATATGTGTCATTTGGAAATACAGCCCGCTCAGTTCTGTCTCCCGGCTGGAGTGCAGCGTGCAGGAGGAGAGGCTGACCTGCTCCTAGAGATTCGGAGTGCAGCCCGCGCCTGATCGCCACTTAAAGGGAGGAACAGCACAGGAGGGCGCAGGGGAGGAAAGCTGCTCTGCAGGGTGACCGGGAAGGAGGGAGAGAGAAGGGCGTGCCTGGGCGGGGCGCTGCCCTCGGGATCACCCACAGGGACAGCCCCAGGCCCTGGCTGCTCACGGAAGCCCCTGAGCTCAGCACTGGCCAAGTCCACTGGAGGTGTGACGCCCTAAGATCCCGTCCACCCCCGGAACCCTCACTCTGAATGTGCCAGGCCACGCAGGAAGGGCTAGTCCTGAATCACAGCACCAATAAACATTGTATGTGGTGAAATACGTACCCAAAGCTCATGCCCCACTGGACCTCTGGAATGGGGACCCTGTACCTCTTTGTTTTAGCTTTGATTGTAAACAAGTCTCCGTTTTGTGGTTTATTTAGTGCTACATTTTTTCACAAGTCTGTGTTCTCATTGGTGGTTTTACTGTTTAAAATAGTCCCCAAGTGCAGTGCTGAAGTACAGCAGCATAAAAAGGCGGCGATGTGCCTTATAAAGAAAATATGTACCTTCGGTAAACTCTGAGTTACAGCACTGTTGGCTAAGTGCAGTGTGAACAGACCAACCCTGTATGTTAAAGGACATACTTTAAACAGAAACACAGATACTGCATGGTTACTAAGTGACCAGTTGGCAAAAATGTGACTAAACAAGGCTTTGGTTATACTCTTTTTGTGTTATTTACCACATATGAGGGTATCAGTAAATTCTTATTAATTCATTTAATAATCACAAATACGTTGCTTGGCATGGTGTTACACACCATAATCCTAGCGGTCTAGGAGGCTGCGGTAGGAGAACTGCAAATCCACGCCTCGCCTGGGCAATTTACCTATCTCAAAATTAAAAAAGAAAGAAAGGCAAAGCAAAGGAAAGGAAAGGGCTGGGGACCGGGTCTCAAAAATAAAAAGGCTGGGGATATATCTCAGTATGAAGACCCTGGATTCAACATTCAATACCCCCAAAAAATCTTTTAAATGTTGTTTTAAATTTGGCCTTTATTATTTTCAGCTGTTGTTCATGTTCTTCGATTTTAAAAGGATGAAGGAAATTTTCCCGGAAGTTAGTGTAATATAGGGAGCTCTGGTTAGAGTCCTCTCAATTCCACGTACATTTCTGCTACCGATCCGCTCATGATCTCAGGCAAACAACCTAATTCGTCTGTGTTATACTTTCTTTAGTGCTAAACTGGAGAAATGCAACTAAACTCCATGCTTTGTTGCTAGAATTACAGGAAGTAATGATTTAACACATTAATTAAGATATGTGTCATGGGGTCCACCTAGAGGCCAAGGCCTGCCACATACCAGAATGATTGGACTGTACCTCTTGCTAAAGACCTATACACAGACAGACTTCTAAGTTTTGCAAGGAAGAAGCAGTTGGTATTTGTGGTTTATCTGTATGGATTTCCTAACTTTACTTTGTGTTGGTTTAGCACTTTACATTTGTAGTCTCATTTCATCTGCATCATACTTGTCAAAATATTGTTAAGAGTGTTTGCAAAAGTTCTTAGAAATTTGGAAAGACCAAATTTGAGATTAAAACTAAGATCTGTACAGCTTATCAGTAACAGACTCTTTGCCCTTTTCCGGGCGTACTATGCCACAAGCATATGTGACAAGTATACAGGCCATTATTTTGTCAGATGTATTATTCTTATCTCAGTTACTTTCTTCCTTACTGGGGCAAAAGACCCAGCTCTCCCAAGTTAAAGGAGGAGTGCTTTCCTTTTGCTCAAGTCTGTAGAGGTTTCAGTTCCTAGTCTCAGCTGGCTTCTAGGTGAGGGAGCACGGCAGAGGAGAAACAGCTCCAGGCATGGCACTGGGAAGAGAGAGAGGCAGTGACCACAGATGTGTGTGTGGGTGGCGGGGGATAGACCCTCCAGGCCATCTCCTCAATCCCCTCCTCCTCCCACCAGGCTGCACCTCATATCGTTACACACGGCTATATATAAGGTCTTGTGGACAAATCCACTGATGATTACGGACTGCCGTGATCGAGTCACCCCCATCTATGAGCACAAGAGGCTTTGAGAGGTATAAGCCATGGCAGTTTCCAAAGAGATACAGTCTACAGTCTCAAAGCCCTTCCCTGTGAGGCTGTTAGTTTGTCAGACACTAGAGTGTCTCCTCTCTGTAAATGACTGACGGAGTGAAGGAATCACTTCTAAACACACTGAAAACTTCTGAAACTCGTCACTTGGATTACATTTTAACAGAAAAACAACAAATTCCTCTGTAATAAAATGAACCATAAACGATTGACCTCTCCCTTTTTCTTCAGGGTGACTCTGGAGGACCATTGGTTGGTGCTGATGCTAGAGACATCTGGTACCTCGCTGGAATAGTGAGCTGGGGAGATGAATGCGGGAAACCCTACAAGCCAGGTGTTTATACGAGAGTGACCGCTCTCCGGGACTGGATCACCTCCAAAACGGGTCTCTAGGGAGAACCAGTGCAACGCAACTTCTTTCTCTCTGTGCATGTGACAGTTCATGTTTAGAGATGCAGAATTGCAGAAGAAGCCTTAAAAATCTCAAGGATCTGATCCATCTCACTTAACTATCTGGTCGATGGATACTTTTCCATCCTAGTTCTCCTCACATAAAAGCGTCTTATTTCTGCCAGATGAACTCTGCCCAACCTATATTCATGTTTTCTGGGCATTTTCTGTCATCAGAATCTTGGCTTTTTGACATAAACTTTTCATGGAATTATACAATTGAAGCAATGCCTTTTTTCATTTTTCTCAGTTTCTCTCATCTCAGCACATTTTTAATTTCATGGTTTGGTACAAGGAATGAAAGAAAATATAAAAACTGTTTTCTAATGTGTGAGAAAATATTGGGGGTTTTTCTTTTGTGGCATATGAAAAATGATCATATTCATGATGAAAGGTCCACAAAGAGAAGCAGCATCTGTTCAACACCTCATGATGGAAAAAGAATGGAAACTAAAGGAAATTAACTCAAGGAAATACAGAGAGAAGCTCTAGTCAAGTGACTACCAAGAGAAAAGTGAAAACAGTCCTGTTTTCTTATGATTAGAATATTTATACAAACCCTATGTAATGTACTTGTTTTGCATAAGTTAAAACAAGCAATATTGACTTAACAGGAAATTCCTGAGGATGTTAGCATATCATAACAAAGTGATTTAGCCATCTATTTGCTTGATATTATAATATAACCTGTGAAGATGTGACAATGTGGGAAATGTTAACAGTCAATAGAATGAAAAGCCTTACAATCTGAGATTAGAATGGCAATTGATTAAAGAACAGTTAGCATGCCTTATGTGGTAACAGTAATTGTGGGGTTGAGAGGAGTGGGTGAAGGCAACCTCAGCCCAGACTGTTGACTGAAGTTGGGTTGACTAAGTGGCATCACCAAATGCTGTGCATCTCAAACGCTCCTGTGCTGAAAAACTTAAGGGGCATAGGCCCACACACTGGCACGTAGCTGTAGCCATGCAGTTCACACTGTGCTGGGTCCTCATTTTGGGAGAAGGCAGAAGGCCTCTTTGCTGTTTCTAGTTCGTCTGTGAACAGAGGTCCCTTTAGACCTATTGAGCTTGAGATGGGAGACATCCTGGACAACACCTCTGTGATGCATCTAGGACAACACTGTACTACTGATTTCCTGGATACAAATGGAAGAGAAAGAGCTTGGCATGGGCTGACTTAGTCATTTTAAATTTGATAGGTTATTCTGATCCCTTAGAGACACCATAGTCAAGTGATCTGGACCAAGATTAAGTGAGGACTGGTGCCATGAGAGATGACCTGCTAATGGCAAGATGCAGTAGTCTTTTAATTGCCCTTCCTCATTTTTTTTTTTTTTTTTTGAGACAGGGTCTTTCTATGCAGTTCAGGCTGGCCCTGAGCTCACTTGATAGCCCAGGCTGGTCTCAAATTTGCAAGATCCTCCTGGCTCAGCCTCCAGAGTGCTGGGATTACAGGCATGAGGCACCACACCCGGCACCTCTTTTCATTTTTTACAGAACATAAAAATGACCCAAATAACATTGGCATATGCATTGATTAGATTTAGTCATTTGTCTAGAATAAGATTTGAATAATGACATTAATTAATAATTAATAATGTTGAATGTTTTATGTAAAAACTTTGTGTTCCATTTAATGAAATTTTTTGAGGAAATTGAGAGGAATCATTATAGTGGACTTACAAACTCCGTTTGTTTACAAGGGCTGGTTGGAATTCAAGTTGGTTGTAAATCAAGACTATTTTCCCCAAAAGAAATAATGGAAATACCTATAATGTGTTCTGAATCTCCAAAATGCCCTTTCACTAACCTTTTATAATAAAATAGGGTCATGTAATGTGTATAACTTACCAGAAACACCCATAATTTTCCTAGTGTGTTCACCAGAAAGCTATAAAATGTGCCTAGTTTACCAGAAACAATTTCACACTGTACTCGCCACTAAAGCTGACATCTTTGGCTTGCAGGAAGGAAGGATGAGGTGAAAGGTGGTTACTGTTTGGAAGGAGACTGCCCTTCCATGAGAACATCAGAAATCTGTGTTCAGGCTGACAGTTACCTATGCTTTTCTGGCATCATGAACCTTTGTTTACAATTGCACAAGCGGCTGGCCAGGTTGTAACTCAAGACTTTGGTTGCAAGTTTAACCTAAAATTCTGTTGTTCCTATGCAAGGATGGTCCTAATGAGGGTGCACTGTAATGTGACAATATAGGTCTGTTCCATACTAACTTTCAGCGTTACATAAAATTTGAGTCCCATGTATATTCTGCAATGTGACCACTGGGTGGCAGCCTCTAAACTGTAAGAAAGTTAAGGAAGAAGGAAATCTGGATTTAAGAGTCTTTAAAGGGCTGGGGATATATTTCAGGGGCACATTTCCTGCCTGACAAGTGCAAGATCCTAGTTTGATTCCCAGTACCAAAAAAAAAAAAATCAAGTAATAACAGAAACTATAATAGAAATTCTAAATTAGAATATTGTAAAACCAAAGACTACAAGTTATCTTTTGAAATACATTTTTAAATGAACGCATGTTAGTGCTATTAGTAGTATTTTCCAGATTTTTGGGAATTAGACTTCAAACTCAAATGAAATTTATGCTTCATGATTTGAGGAAATCCCATACAAACTTGGAAAGATTTAAATTAAAGAAAAATTCTCAAAGTTTTATTTCATAATGGCCTTATATTCCTCAGATAATATTGTTGGTATTTCTGTATAGAAAAGGCTTAAGAATTATAGGTGTGAGTAACAGCTAAGATAAAAGCAGTTGTTCAACCTTTATGTGCACAGGGAAATAGATAATACACAATACTATCCCTAGAGTAGTAATTTATTATGAAAAATAATGTATTAAAGGTCTTCATATTCTTGAATATATCTGTGGCAACCTTTTTATGTCCTCCAGTACTGGAGATGTAACCCAGGAATTTTGCTCTGAGCTACCTTCTCAGTCATTTACTATTATTATTATTATTATTATTATTATTATTATTATTTAAGACAGAGTCTCATTATATAATTCAGGCTGGTCTTGAGCTCACTTCGTAGCCCAGACTGGCCCTGAACTCAGTGCAAGTCTCCTGCCTCAGCCTCCTGAGTGCTGAGAATATAGACACACACCACCACGCCTGGCATGTTTTTAACTTTTGAGTTAGTATCTCATTAAGTCGCAAAGTTACTCAAGCTGGGCTTGAATTTGGGATCCTCCTGCCTCAGTCTTCTAAAGTATTAGTATTATAGCAGTGTATCACAATGCCTGGCTTATGTTAGCCATTTTATCGAAGAAGTTTAGGTCATGATTGTAATATTTACTGTATATACAAGAGGGCAAGCAATTTCTTTTACATATTTTCACCTCTGTTCCCACAGCATCTGATGAGGTTTTCACTACATGATAAGTGTCTGTGAGTGGATTTTTTAGTTTTGCATTGTGCAGAAAACATGGCTTCAGTATTGTAGTCGTGACATAAGGCCAGTTGAGTAAATGACAGGCCACATAGAGGACAGTGGTCCCATTAGGTTAAAATGGAGCTGAAAAATTTCCATTTCCTTGTGATATGGTTGCTATCACGCTGCAGGGCACACCATGATTTCCATGTTCATTGTGATGGTTGTGGCCTCTGTCATTCAGGTTTGGGTCAGTATGTACTGCGGCTTTCAGTGGGTGAAAAAGCCTAAAGACTCATTTCATAGACCGCATTCTGTCAGACAGTGACACATGACCTATTTACATACTGATTTTTCTAAGTAATCCCAGACTTTACACTATGACTTAAACCAACCATTTAAATAACTGGCTAGATCACTTACCCATAAAATAGATCTAATATTTACTCAACTAATTGCTAATATTACTCAAATAATTTACTCAAATAATTGTAATAAAACTGAAATGTTTGGAACATGATGAGCACCAGTCTTAGAGCATGTTTGGGACCCAAGAAATAGAAAATAGTATTCCTGAGTCTGTACTGAAACTACAGTTTTGTATTAAACTATACATTCAATAATAGGTTGAATGTACTCTTTGAAATTAAGAAATAATTAGATCCACAGAATGTTGTTACTAATTCTCATTCTACAAAAGAGATTTCATTGGGATCATTCCAATCCTATTATAAAAGTAGTCCCTCATTGGGATGATTTATTCTAATTTTCCATTTCAACCTTGAAAAGTGATAAATATGATTAAATCTGACTGAAGTATAACAGAATCTACAGTCGAATTGAAATGTTGCCTCTTTGAAAATTTTATTTTTCAGGTAGATAAAGTCCTCCTTTCTGAAATCCCTTATGACTACCTTTTAAAAATTCTCAGGTAATTATAAATTATATTTGCATACCATTGTAAAGTAATACAGAAAAATACTGTGTATCTTAAACCAGTTTCTGGCAATGGTAATATTTGATTTAGTTATAGTATAATATAAAACCAGGAAATTGAAGCAATAATTTCTCAGCCCTTAATTCAGATTTCACTAGCTTTAAAAAATATAATAATTGTGTCTGTTTGCATGACAAATGTATTTAGCTCTGTCCATGTAGATCTGTCTAACCTCCACTATAATCAAGATGTTTTATCAAAGGCTCTCTCATGCTAATTCATATCTACTTGGCTCCCTTGCGAACAATGTTCCTGGACTAATCCCTGTTAATCAGAAACTTGTTCTCCATCTATACAGTCTTACCATTTCAAGAATTATACATAAGTGGACTCATACAGTGACCAACCTTTTCATCTTGGCTTTTTCACTTAGTATAATTCTCTACAAATCTATGCAGGTTGCTGTGTGTGTCTATCGTCCATTCTTTTTAATTGCTGAGTAGTGTCACATGGTTGGACGCACTAGAGTTTGCTTAACCATTCACCCACTGGAGGGCAATGAATTGTTTTCAGTTTAGAACCTTATAAATAAAATTGCTATGAATCTTCATGAGTAAGATTTTGTGTGAATGTAAGTTTCACTTTTGTGGAATTAATGGCCCGTATTATAAGTCCACATTTAGGTTTTACAGTCTATGCCTAAATATTTTATATATATTGAATACAAGTGATATAAGTTCCAGGAGAGTAGAGACTATAACTTATTTATTTTTATTTCTCTCAAAGTTCACCAGACAGTAGTAAGTTATGAGTTTCTCAAAGTTTTATATCAAGTCTCAATAAAGGCAGGGGACTTAGTTTGGTGATAGAGTATTTGCTTAGCATGTACAGAGCTCTATATTAAAGATTAAAGATAGTAATAAAAATAAGCATTGTAATATATACAAAATTAAAAAGAAAAAGTGACTTGGGTGAGAAAGAATTAGCAATATTGCCTTCATGAATGTGTTACAGCCTAGTTTCTGTAATTCTGGACTTTACCACAGTAGCTCCAATTTCCTTGAGTTGGTTAATATTAAATCTTTGTCTTTACTTTCACACCTGATTCACAATAAAACAGACTGAAACCATGAATTGTAGAATAAATCCGTCTTTGTGCCTGAGCATGCTTCTTGATATATGTCTAATGGCTTTCTGACGTGTGTCCTAGCTTCTGCACTGTACTTGTAGAATGAGGTCATTCTCAGCAAATACTTCTTTGGCCTTATTTATTTATGTATTTGTTTATTTATTGACTTGTTGAGACAAGGTCTCGTTATGCAGTCAGGCTGAACTTAAGCTCATTTTGTAGCCCAGACTGGTCTTAAACTTGCAACAATCCTCCTCCCTCAGCCTCCCAAGTGCTGGGGTTGCAGGCTTGTGCCTCCACATCTAGCTCAGGATCTTAAATTTTATACCCATGACTTTAATTTCATTGTCCTATTAAAATTTTTATTATACAACTCTCTGGTAGAATGAAAGACAGAGGCCAGATAAATACAATTGAAAGGTCTCCTTTAATTAATGTGATCCATAACACATTCCTCGTTGGTACTTGACCCCCTTAGACTCCTAGACAATCATATAATGACTGTCTTGTACAGACTCTTACCTCATTTGCTTCTTTCTTCCTTTGCCTCTCTGTGACACTCTTTTTTTCCCCACTGTACTGTTAAAATTATACTATCCATTCCTTCCCGCACAATGGAGTCAAACATGTTTGGAGAAGAATATACAACCATGTTGACTGTCATAGTCACAAGCCTTCAGCACACTGAGCGCTTCCATGCCATTGTATTATGCACCTATATTCCATTCACTTTCCTTTTTTTCTAAATGACTGCTTGCACTTTTCCATCGCTTCAACCTCTCCATCCTCCATCTTCATTCTCCACTAATGATTTCAGTTCTTGCTGCCACTGATATTTGAAGGAGTGTGAAGCAATCTCTCTCAGACATCTCACCCGCCTCTGCTCACTGGCCTGAAACTGTACCTGCTCCCATTGCTCCCTTGTCTGTTGCCAAAGATGCCACAACAAAATGGAGCTTTAAAGTTATATTTTTCCTTTAGACACAAATGGTTCCAAACTTCATCACCCTAGGGCATAAACAATCAGCCCTGTTTCTCTTCAGTGCAAATGAATGGAGAGATTACACAGATGCTGGCACCAGGAAGTCAGTGTTCAATTTGACCTGAAGGGGTGGAGAGGACAGGGCAGAGGAAGGGATCAATGAAGCTGTGATATGTCCATGGTCTCGGTGTAGTCACTCCCCTGTTCCTGCTGTAAAAGACCCTGACACACCTCTACGTGTTAGGGTGACTTGAATGATGGGGCCCTCTGTCTTCTTGAAGCTAGCTCTGAGTAGATTCCTTTTCTTCCTTTCTTTTAACCAAAACAAATGGCCCTCTTTGATTTGGTCAGCAGTGAGCAAACAAACCTGAGTGTATGGACTTTAGTGTATGTAATACAGTCTCAAATCTAGCCCTTTACCTGCACAACAGAGGCTACCTCTGCTCATTTACCTTCCCTCCTTCTCCTATATGTTCAATTTTTTTTTTACTGCTTTTATCTTAAACCACCAAATTATCTTCCTGCCATGTCCCCCAGGAGCTGCTATTCATTGAAACAAAGGTCCTTGAAGAAACTGATTGTATTCACTGTCTCCTAGAACTTTCCTCCCATTCTTTCTTTCAAACTCAAAGTTATTCCCAATGACTGATTTATATGCAAAAATGAATGAGCCAAGGGCTCACATAGGGTGTTTTCAACGAGAATGGCATCTGAAGCTGTGAACTCAATAATATAGATTGTACTCTCCGATGTGAGTGTGTGACGCTGTGAGGGTCTGAACACAAAAAAGGAAATATAAGGAGAAATTTTTTTTTTCTTGTGAGGTAAATTCTTGAGCTGAGACATCTCTCATCCTATCTTCTTCTGCCCTCATAGCTGACTGAAATTTACATCATCAACTCACCTGATTCTTAGCTTTCACTTGGGTTGAATTGCAACACTAGCTTTTTCCTAGGTCTCCAGATTGCAGACAGCAGTTGTTGAAACTATAGAAAAATAAAATAAAAATCATCTGTTCTGCAATACAGGTCTCAAGTAGGCTGTTTTATAACATATATTCTGTAATCAGAGTGTGGTCTTGTCAAAAAGAACAATTGTTTCAATACTGATCATGTCTCAAGGACTGTACCCCATACCAAAAGTGACCTATTGTTCCATTTTGCAGAATCAGCAAACACGTAAAAGCTATGTCTCTCAAGCCCCCTTGCACAGCACCCTGTTTTGACTGCTCCACTATTTCTCACATTGTGTATTTTAATGATCTCTCTGCATTTATTCTACTCTTTCGTAAATTCCTTTACAACCCATACCACTACCCTCTCCTCACTGTCTTACAAGACATTTGGTGGTCCAGGTAGGGCCTGTCTCCTTGCCTCTTTTGGGCCCTCTTTACTCTGGGGATTTTGCATGGTTGGGGACTGCCTTTGCTATTCTAGGTCTCTTCTCTGGATGAATTTTAGGATTGTTTTCCCTAATTCTGTGAGATATGCTAATGGAATTTTAATTCGGATTGCATTGAATCTGTATGATAGTTTTGGAAGTATGGCCATTTTCACGATATTGGCTATTTCTACCAAAGAAAATGGGATATCTCTCAATTTTCTAATATTCTCTTCAATCTCCTTTTTCAGAGTACTGTAGTTTTCAATGTAGAGCTCTTTTACACCCTTCATTAGATTGCTTCCTAGGTATCCCAATTTTTTTTGGATGCTATTGTGAAAGGTGTTGCTTCTCTGATTTGCCTCCCAGTGAGTTTGTTATTTGTGTACAAGAAAGCTATTGATTTTTTTAGTGTTAAGTTTATATCCATCTACATTACTGAATTTGCTTTTTAAATCTAGTAGTCTTTTGGTGGAGTTTTTGGGGTCTTCTGTGTAAAGTATCATGTTATCTTCAAGTGATGATAGCTTCACTTCTTCTTTTCCTGTTTTTGTTCTTTTATGTCTTATTCTTGTCTAATTGCACCAGCTGAAGTTTCCAGGACTATCTTGAATAAGAGTGAAGACAGTGGGTATCCTTATCTCATTTCTGATTTTAGAGAGATATTTTTCCATTTTTGTTCATTTAATATGATGCTGGCTATTGGTTTGTCATAGATGGCTTTATCAGAATGAAATAAAGACCATCTAGTCCTATTTTTGCTAGGGTTTTTATCATAAAACTAGTGCTGGACTTTGTCAAAAACTTTTGTGCTTCTATTGAGATGATCATATATTTTTTGTCCTTGGCTCTGTTAATATGATGTATTACATTTATGGATTAACATGTGTTGAATCATTGCTGCATCCCTGGGATGAATCCAATTTGATCATAGTGTATAATATTCTTGATGATTTACTACATTCTGTTTGCTGGTATTTATTAAAGATTTTTCCATCTATGTTCATTAGGGAAATTGGCCTATAATTTTCTTTCTTACTTGGGTCTTTCTCTGGTTTTAGTATCAGGGTAATGCTTGCTTCCAGGAATAATTTTGGGAATGCTGCTTACCTTTCAATTTCACTAAAGATTTTGAGATGTAGTGGTGTTAAGTCTTCACTAAATTTCTTGTAGAATTGAGCAGTGAATTTGTCGGTGCCTGGACTTGGTGTTATATTTGTTATTGTTGATACGTTTTTAATTTCATCTTTGATTTCATTGATTGATACTGGTTTATTTAGGATTTTTGTATCCTTTTTATTCAGCTTTAATAATTCATTTGTGTCCAGGAATCTGTCCATTTCTTCTGTGTTTTCCACCTTATGAGAATACAAGTTTTTAAAGTAGGTATAGATCTTCTGGATTTCTATAGAGTGTGTTGGGTTTTCACCCTTTCATTCCTAATTGCATGGATTTGAGTCTTTTCTTTCCTTTTTTGATAAGATTAGCTAAAGGTTTGTCAATTTTAATCTTTCAAAGAACCAACTGTTTGATTCAACTGTCAATTCTTTGTATTGACTTTTTTTAGTCTCCAATGTGTTAATTTTTGTTCTGATCTTTATAATTTCCTTCCTTATAAAAGCTTTTTAGCCTGCTCTTCTTTATCTAGAAGTTTGAGTTTCAAAATTAAGTTGTTCGTGAGCATTTATTCTGTTTTCCTGATGTGAACACTTACTGCTATAAATTTCCCTTTGAAACTGCTTTTATTGTGCCTCACAAGTTCCATCATACTGTATCGTCATTATCATTCAACTGTAAAAAATGTCTAATTTCTTCTTTAATTTCATTTGTGACCTGTAGGTTGTTTAGTAGGGTGCTTTTTAATTTCCATGTGTTTATGAAGTTCTTGTGGTTTCCTTTGTCATGGATTTCCAATTTCATTGCATTGTAGTCTGATAGTATGCATAATCATTTCAATTCCTTTACATTTACTTAAGGATGTCCTATGGGCCAGTATAGCTCTATTTTGGAGAAGGTCTCATGTAAAGCTGAGAAGACTGTGTATTCTGTTGTTTTTAGGGTGGAACACTCTACAGACACTGTCTATTTGTTCAAAAGTTTGATTTAGTTCTCATATTTCATTATAGATTCTTTGTCTAGTTGATCTGCCTTGTGACAGCGAGGTTTTGAATTCTCCCAATACAGTTATATTAGGGCATATTTGATTTTTCATGTCTGTTAGTAATTGTTTTATATGACTGGGTACACTGGTATTTGCTGCATATATATTTATGCAAGTTATCTCTTCCTTATGGATTATTCTCTTTATGAGGAAATAAAGACCTTCTTTATCTCATTTACTTAGTGTAGCTGGAAATTTACTTTGTCTGCAAATAGAAGAGCTACCCTTGCTTTTTTCTGGATTCCTGATACATGGAGTATTAATTTCCATCCTTTGACTTTCAGTCTATGAATTTCAATGTGCTTCTTTTATGCAGCATATCGTTGGATCTCGATTCTTGATCCATTCTGCTAGTCTGCATCTTTTGATTGGTAAATTGAGAACATTAACATTGGTGGTTATTACTGATATGTACTGGGTTATTCTTGGCATGTTATTTTCCTGTTGTTTACTCCTCCCTGTTTTCCCTCGCTGTAACTTGT